TGCTGAAATCTCCTTAAAATTTCTCAGAAGGAGTCTACACTATCTTTGAGTGGATTTGATGATCGGTACAGGTAAGGAAGGGTTGGCAAGAATGAAAAGTACCATATCTCAAGGTTGACATTCTGGTAGAAAGGTTTCAGGAGTCATGTATGCTGGACGTGCTCTATTTAGTTGCTGTACCTTTGATGAGAGGAGAGTCTGCATTTGAATTATGGCTGATCTTCATTCCCCAAAATCCGCTATTTTGTAGATAACTGGCTGGCGGTTCCAAAGAATTGTAATTGTAATGGTGCTTGTTAGTTAACAAGGTGTTTGCCAGGTTTAGATCTCTCTCTGTGCACGATGTCGTTGTGGAGAAATTTAAGGCCAACTGCATCATCTGTTGCAATTATGGGTACAACATGTTCAAATCCTTTGAAATCGTAATGCAAATGAACACGCCCAAGAAGTCTGATAACGAACTAACAACTTTTTTGTCAAACCGTTCAAAAGAAAACACAACATATTCTGTAATTATAGGATACGGGCGGATGCATACTGCCTTAAAGGAAATGACGTTTTGGTGTCCCCTGACACTATTCAGAAGCTTTACTTCTTTGGTGAATTCCTTTCCAATACCAGTAATTTCACGTGGAATTTTCAACACAACATCTCTTCCCGATAACGAATGACATTTTCGACTCTGTAAGCCCCCGGCCCTAACAGAGTTTGCTGGCCAACCTCACTCCAATCAAAATGAGCCAAATCTGTCAACAATTCCTTATCCGGTGGTTTTTGCTTTCACTTTGGTATACGAAAGGACATTTTGTGCGATACTTCGAACTTCTAGTCACATAGCTTAGACGCACTCAGAAACACAGGTGGGTTTAGTGCCGAACAGTATTACTAAAAATAGATGGACCCCCTATGTGACTCTGACCGTTTCCACGGTCAGCGTTTCGGACACAAAAAAATTATCTGTAAAATCAGGAATAATTTTGTTTATGGTTTTGTTAACTAATAGGCAGCACTGCCACACGGTATGAAAACGTGGTCTAAGAAATTCAAATAAATCCTTAAAATCTGACAAAGCGACTAGGTCTTTGTAGGCTGCTAAAATCCAATAGCAGCTGTCACATCAGTGGCTCTCTCGCAGCGCAGTGGGAATATAACATGACAACATATATGTCCAAAATCACAGATGTAGAGGAAAAAGACGTGGCTTAAAGAAGTTATCCTCTGCGATCCTTAGCAAGCCTTGTATACACCACACAAAACAGAATTCTGTTATGATGTTTGGTATGTTTGGTAGTGGGGTGGGTTACATAAATCATGATCTAAATTTTTGAGTGGATTTTGCTGGCTTTGGTGTACAATAATAATGTGCTTTCCCTTTTCATCTTAAAATGTGAATAGTGATTAGGACAACTGTATTAAAAAAAAAAAGCGGCTACATAGTGGAAGGTTAGGTATCAGCGCACTTATACAGAGCTTGCACTGTGGAATTACTCGACCATAAATACTGTCATATTAAAAGTAGCAGTGTTTAATATTGTGCAATTAAACATAAAAAAAGCGAACATTTAGTTTGCTACCTGTTCCTTTTTTTCCGTAGCCCTTTGTTACATTATTTTCTGTCCCTTTCTAGGTTGACTGATATGTACAGTTTATATTTTTTTTAGCTATCCATAGGGAATGCTGTATCACTGCCCTGTCCAGTAATTTGCCTTTACATTGGACAAGTGATTTTTTGTTATAGATATCTCATGGCAACAAGCAAATTTCTAAATCATTTGCCCTCGATGTTTTCATGTGAGAATGGTTCAAAAGTGCGTCACGTATAGCTACAGAAATACAAAAGTTGAAAAAAAGGGCAGCAGAAATGTGTTGTCAACACTTTTCTGTTGACGTGTGGCTCATCGTATATGTGAGCTGGCCAAAGATGACACCATTTCCTCCCTGGCAGAAATAAAATTACAATAATCTTGTAGAGGGCTTACACAACCGTCGAGCCAAAATGGTGCAAAATCGAAAAACACGTACTCTAGCATCATGGCAAGAGGATTTTCACAGACAGCTTTCATCACAACGATGTATTTGTCATGCATTGATTTCAGGATCTGCGCTTCGTTTAAGAATAGTTGTTTCTTGCGGTCTTGATGCTTCCTTGCTGGCAATATACTCAAGCTTCCCACCAAGAGATACATGTGACAGGAGATAGAAAGCATCACATTCTTCCAGTCAAAATTGGCTGGCAGTTCATCAAAACATAATCAGTATGCCACCGGTGGTCTCCATGATTTAAGCCAGCAGGGCTCCCCTTGCATCAAGAGCCTGGTCAGACTGGGGTAGACCGGGGTCAAAGCCTGGCCCAGAAGCCTTGGCGGGGCTGGCCAAGCGATAAAAATCTCGGGAAGCCGTGGCTAGCCCGGCCAATACCGTAACAGAGCAAATGGCCTGGCTTGACCAGGCTAGCTGGGGAAGCCAGCCATAACCTTGACCATTAGCCAGCTGTAAATACCAGGGCTAGCTTGGCTGTCACCTTTGATTCCGAGGTTTTACAGCTGCCCTCTGAATTATAAGCAGAGCAAACTAGCCCTGTAACCATACGAGCCATTAAGATGAAAAGGCCATGAAAGGTCATGGTCAATTCACAAATCAACTCTACTAACTAGCTGACATTGATCAGCAGGTCTTGTTCTATCAAAATCTGCTATCAAACCTTTTCTGACCCGATCATTGTACGAAACCCTTCTTTTAGGGTCCTGGCTTCCGGACTATTAGTCACATGGTAGAAATTGACAGCACTAGAAGAGGACACTACAACGTTTTTGTGTGACAAACGTGACAAGGCTATTACTTGCGTGTTTTATCGCGATCGTCACTTAACATCATTGGCATGTTTATTTTGCAGACAAAAAAAAATCTGTTTAGAGGATTGGAATGTGAAGTTTGGCTGAAAATTCTTAAATAATAATAATAATACTAATTGTCACGCTTGTCACGTAAGGGTTTACTGTCTTCTTTTATCTAACGTCTTAAAGCGTAAGGGCAGTGAAGCCAGCGTGCGCAGATCTGAAAACCGCATTGACCAATGGCAGAGCTAAAACATTCTCTAAGATGTATTACCTTGACAAGGAGTTCAGCCACTTCATAATGACCATAAGAGCAAGCATTATGGAGAGGGACCAATCCTCTAACAGAAATAGAAACCAAAGAAAATACACAAAGTTAAACCACCTTGTGCAACTGACAGTGATAATATTACACGAGGAATAGGCCAAAAATTCCTCACTAATGAAAAAGTGGCACAGAAATTATGGTGCATATACTAAGGATCAAAAATTTCTTCTTTCATGTTACAGAGAGTCAACTACAATAAAACAGGTTCCTGTAAGTGACGTTCCCCTGTGCTTTTGAAGTACTTGACTGAAACTGCTAGTCTATGGGTGCCAATAGACCTCTTTAGACCCCTCTTTTGGAAGGGGGCGGGGGGGGGTAATGTCTAAGTTGTTGCTAGATAACTCTAGTTTTTCAGCCCCCCCTCCTGATAATTATTGCACAGTCCCTAAGTTCTGTAAGTTTTATTAACTGATTTTTGGACGTTGACGATTTTCTGAGATCGTGCGAGAAAATAAATCCAAAAAATAAACTGATCTGTGAAAACGACACGACGCGAGCACTCGCTTGAAATTGGCTAACTCCGTGGTTATGGGCTCCTGGCGAGGTCACTTTTTCTGCACATATGAACCAAATTGAAGGAAGTTGGGGGCGGCTGCTTTTAAAATGGTGGTAGGGCTACTGTCTCCCCAACTTTCGCGCTTCTTTCACACGGTAACCGTGTTTGATTCGCCGGCTCTACCGAATAATTGCCATAAACGTCTTATAATTCATTACTGTTTTTTTTATTTTTATATTTCATCAGTTACTGATGAAAACTCGAGGTTGGGAAGCCTGTGTCATCGACTGATTGCAAGTCCAAAATTCATCAGTTCTTTGTTTTTTTACACTTCAGTTTACCAATTGACTTCATTTCCTTAATCTTTTTTTTGTTGTTCATTGTGTTTCGCTTTCGCTTGGATTCATGTCAGCTTTTCCATTACAATGAAAAACACTGAGTCCTATCTGGTTACACAGCTTAGCAAACCGCACCCTTAATCACATGATTTCAAGAAGCCATCGCTTGCAGCTCTAGAGTTACCATGGATGTTCAACAGCTCTTTACAGTTCTTAAAAAGGAAGCTGAATGCCCATTGTGTTTGGAGACAGTCAATAATCCCACGATTTGCCATGTATTCACTCATTCTGCCTCGAGTGTCTTAACAAACACGCAAATTTTGCAAGAAGACAGCTACAAGCGACAATCAAATGTCCAGTTTGTCAGACATCTTTTCAAATTCCTGAAGGAGACTCGTTCAAGAATTTGCCTGCATCTTATCATCTCAACCGATTGGTGGATGTTCTCGCTCTAAAAGATGGCAGCACACAGACCCAGAAATGCAGCAGTTGTGATGAGAACAATACTGCTTCCTCTTACTGTTTCGTTTGCCAAATATTCCTCTGTACTTCTTGTTTTGAAGCTCATCAGCGCCTGAAGACCACGAGAGGTCATCGCAATGTTATGATAGAGAAATTAAATGTGCAAGATGTTCAAGAGTTGATCCACAGACCCGTCATGTGTTCACAGCAATATCATGAAAAAGTCGGCGACCTTAAAATAACGCTTCTTACGTTTCAAGAATAAACGGTCTTCACGACATATCATTCGGTATTAGCTGTGTGGTACTGTCTGTGAGTCTTTCGGCGTGTTCATGTCTTCTACGTTTAGAAGGACGCTTTGGAGAAAGTGAAAGCGGAAACTGTAATTTACGAGAACGAAATAAGGAAACAAACCGAGCTAATGGAAAAAAACAAAAATGAGATTTTGTCAGCGGAAAAGAAGATGACAGATGCCGTGGAGGAACGTATCCGTGAATTACGGGAACATGAGAGGGTCATGAAAGCCAAATTTGCTGAAATTTATGAGGCGCTGGCGAGGTGAAAGCGCACTAGAAAGAAACGTCAGTGCTGAGATTCTACAAACAAATCAGATCATTGTTGGACGCTGTGAAGAACTTTTGAATGTAACAAAACCTGACATTTATAAACCACCACACGTGAATTACATAGTCGAAAATCAACTGAATCCGGGTTTGGATCGAATTGTGGTAAGTAATACAGATCCTTTACTTTCCTTAGCGGACGTGGACAATCAAGAACTTGTCAAAGAAAAGACGGTGGCAAATTTCATCATTGTAAGTAGAGATTCAGATGGAAAGCAGTGTTATCATGAAGATGATGAAGTAAAAGTCAACATTATAACTCCAGCACATGATCAACTGGAAACAGAGATAAAAGACACTAAAAACGGCAAGTACACAGTAACATACACACCACAGTGTGTTGGACAACATAGAGTAGAGATCCAAGTTAATGGACAGCCACTGACTGGTAGTCCCTGGGTTGTGCAGGTGATTCCGCATCAGTATCAATTTGCGTTTCAGTTTGGATCAAAAGGGAAAGAGCAAGGACAGTTTGACGAGCCTTGTGGTATTGCTGTGAATGATAAAAGCAGGACGCTTGCTGTTGCTGATACAAACAATAACAGAATTCAGATGTTTGACTTTGATGGGAATTTCCTCAGGGAGATAGCACTGGAAGATGAAGCTTCTTCGGTGGCTTTTACCGAGTCTGGTGACCTCCTTAGCACTGTCGATAGTGACGACAATGAACTCACCTTGTACAATGAGGGTGGCCAATTCATTCGATACATCAGCGATAAACATGTGAAGGAACCGTTGTTCATATCTGTTGGGAGTGATGGCCGTATAATCGCATGTGACTGTTATGACAAAACGATCAAAGTTCTCAGCCCTGATGGGAAAGATTTACGTCAGTCGTTCAGGGCTCCTGGTTGTGATGCGGAGCCATTTAGTGCTGTTTATCAGCAGGACAAATTTTTTGTGTCTTATCCAGACGCTGACCGTGTCATGGTATTTAACATCACAGGGGAGTATCTATATGACATTGCCAGTAAAACGGGATCTGTTAACTGGCAGTTCTCGGGTCCCACTGGTCTCTCTATTGACAAGTTTAACCGTTTGATCGTTTGTGATGGGAATAACCAGGGACTGCAGCTGTTCACTCTTGACGGAAAATATGTCGCTAAGGTAGCTGGGAGTTTTTTTGACCATAATCCTCACCTTGTTGATTGTGCCGTGTCTGATACTGGACATGTTTTTGTTACGGATATTAACAAACACTGTATTTATGTTTTCAACCAGCTCTGTGTGAATATTTAACTCCTTCTGAACAGCGACCTTAAAAATATTGTTTCTCAGGTATGAACTAACCCTCTTGATTAATCCAGCTAAGTGGCTGAACGTTATAACTTGAACTGAACTGAGCTTACATATTTTATACATATAGCCTGCAAATGCCTACAGTTGTAACAAACTGTACATATATTCAAAGGCTGATAACTACCGAAAAAAAGATGGCAACTTCAAGTTCTTTCAAAATCACGTTTAAACGCCAAGATCGTATCCCAAGATATTTAAGTCCCCCCTCTTTCCCAGCAATTATGCTGATAATCAATTTGTTAATGCTGATAATTAACACCAATAAATATACGGAAGGGTGGCCTCTGCTAGCAGGGAAATGCTGATATAGTTGAGTAGATAGTAAAATAAAGTTTTTTTTGAACAGTAAGAGAGAAAAGAAAGAACACGTAGAATCGCGTTATTTGGCGAATAAGAAAAACTGACATGGGCGTTGCAAAGGAAAGTCGAAAAATGTAATAAGCGTTGCATTTGTTTGTTTTAAAAAGAGCATTGATGGTTAGTTGAAGAAAAAAATAAGAGAAGTCAACAATAAATAAGAACTGTCCAAGCTTGTGGCAATTGTCGGAATTTTGCAGGTTACGTTTTCTTGGAACCGACAGTTTTGTCGCATGCGATATGTTTGCAAGCATGCGACCGCAAAGTAACTATCCAAGGCTGGTAAGGATGTTGCCGGTGCCTGCGGCATGTTACCAGCGGTACCTGCGAGCTCTTTCGTGAGGTCGCTGGTGTGGTGAGCTTATATAACAAGCAGCAAGAAAAGAACCGTGCTCTAGCATGCATGTGTCGAAGGTTTGAATTAAACGCTGATAGCTTTCATGATGTAGGTCGAGTTGAATGTCCTTGATATTAACAATACATGAACTAAATCTACTTTCAAACAAACAACCACACACACAAACTTTGCTCTAACATTTCGATATTGGTATAAAAAAAGGCTGGTCTATAACATAGAGTTCAAATAATTGATATATTTACAGACCTAAAGGTTCAATTAAAGCAAAAGTACAGATAAGTGATAAACAAACTACGGTAAAGGAACAGCGTTAACTTTGGAAAAGTAGATTGTCCAAATAAGAGGTGACAGGTGTCACTGTTGCTAAATATTTGAAAATTAACGGAATAAGCAAGAAATCCCCAGCAGTCAAGGCCAAACTGGTAAAATAACACAGAAAGAAAATCAATTTCCAACTTAGACACTTGACACTTTCACCTCCATGTAAACTTATTTAGTGATGTCGGAGGTTTAGGTAATATTTTAGTCTTAAAATTTATTTTTGATGAGAATAACCTGCTGAAGGTAAGGTTTGTGGTACTATACAGTCTGCAAACATTAGGATTTCGCCTGCGAAAACAGCGGTCGTTCTTCGCTCCACGTCACTAGGGACCGTTTTCACGTCCCTCCTGGCGAAATGTCTCTAGAGACGAGGAGCGTGGAGAGATGGCTATTTTCAGTCTAACAAGGATCTGTCCACAAGTAAAAACTTCTTCTTTGTCAGGACACGGTTGAATAACCATTTTTTTGTTTTGCATAAAAATTGATTAATTTACTTACTGTATTAAATTCCAAGATTATATAAAACGTTTGTGCGATAATATATACTAGTGTAACATAATGTTCATGAATAATTGGCTGCCATCTTATGTCGTGTTTTTTCTTTAATAGCCATAATTAGCTCGGAAGTATATTAGCCAGTTGTAGTTGAATCTCAGCTTCGTTATAAGTTTAACATTCTTTCTTGGGAACAGGCTTTATTGGAATTTCTACGTCCTATTTCCTGTCCCTTCCCTCTCATCGCGTTTCTAGTTGCTCCGAGTGGTTGTCAATCCCTTTAGTGACCTGTTGACGCTGGAATTTAAACAGCGTTATAACGCTTATGGGGTCATGTAGATTTTTACAGCAATCCGTCGGCCATTCAGATTCTTAGTTGGTAGTGATGGACAAGGAATTTATAGAGATGCGTCAACGTTGGAGGGTTTAACAATCTTCTACGTGATCAGGCATTCTGGATAGGCCCGGTTAACAACAATAAAGGATAATTAAGCAAATGGCACATCGATTTTTTAAAACTGAGACACTGACATCATTTTACCATAACCAAATCCTGTATTTGCATTTTTTTGAATAGCTCAAATCAACAAACTTAAGCAAAGACGTTTCTGATCGGGGGTGGAAGCTGAATAATTGGATCACGATTATTCATTATTCTTTGCTTTTTTTCTCCAAATTATTCATTATTCATTTCAAATTTTTCCATGATATTCATTATTTATTTTACAGTTTTTGTATCAGTTTTCCTTTCCGAAATTTTCTACTGTGTAATTCTATACATTGGTTATCAAAAGTTTACATTTCAGTATAAGCTTACATTCAACCTTATCTTTAGCAAGTACCATTCTATTTTTCTCTATAAGTGTGGTCAAAATAATGTTATCCTTTTGGATCAATAGACTGTCTATGCATTTACTAGAACGTGAAGGACCAAACAACAGCAGTTGAATGACTAACATAATAACTAATAACTAAAATACATTGTAATAACTAATAAACAAACTACAGCTGAAACGAACACTTTTCACAAACGTACTCGTACGTAATCGACTTGAGGGTTCAGGCAAGCCGGGCAGGATAGGCTGCTTGTTTGCACGGGACCTGCAATACTGCACCACCTACCAGGTTACTCACTCGGTCGGATTTTTAGCCTCTCCTGCAGAAGTTCTTAGGGGTTCGTCGTCACGCGTTCCTGCCTAAGAATCCTAACGTCTGCCTGGGAGGCTATCGGATTTTAGGACCTACTGTCTATTGGCGAAGACAAGACGGTAAGAAATTGATTGGTTGAATATCATCGGGTATAAAATCTTTCAAATGAGTACTAATAAGCTGATTAAAAGAGCGGAACCTTTGTACTGACCTGCTCCGATTGTGCACTTTCCACTTGACCATGAAGGCGAGCTGGAAACATTGTCAGGAATGACAAATAGACCTACCGTCGATGACGATTTCTCTTCTTCTCTGACTTCTTTTTTTCATTGTTCAAAATCGAATGAAGAAGAAGATTTTAGAAAAGCGACCCAATTATACGAAAATACGCTTTGGGCTTAGACACGACACATCGAACTAAAAGGGAACCAAAGGTCAAACATCTCAAGTGATTGACATGCAACTTTGCAGGCTGTAAATTACGTGTTATCGGATTGGCTGTAGGAAAAGAACGCTGACTTTCAGGAATTTTATTTAGAGGTTTGCCGCTTCGGATTTCTCTGGTTTCGGGCGGATTCCAATGTTTACGATGGGCAGAAAAGTTGAAATTGTTTCTTTCGTCATCCGTTTTTATGGGATCATTTAGCAGTTATGAGTTATTCTTTATTCCGAGGCTAGATGATTTTCTCACTCCAAACTCTGATTCATTATTCAGTTTCTTTTAAACCCCGTTATTCATTATTCATTATTCAGCTTCCACCCCCGATTTCTGAGAGACGCACGTCAAACGAGATGGACGTTTTGCACTCTCTTGGGAAGTGGTTTTCCCCAAATTTTAAGGCAGATCGTCTTTATGAGAGCGACCACAATTTCAAATATAAATTTGGTAGCGTTAAGACATATTAAAAGGGAAAAGGCCTCACTCACACGTGTGTCGCTCAAAATATCCATATGCTTAAGCTTCTTTATGTCAGTGGAGCGCCGGTTCCCCGCGGACAACACTGAAACCCTCAAAAAGACGACTTTGATGCGTCCACAAATTAGCAAGCCTCATGGTGCAGGGGTTGGACGATATGAAGATTCTGTTGCATGTAAATTTAGCTTTTGTCATGCCATTTCTGGCCCAAAAATGTAGGCCAAAGTCGCATCCATTATAATCAATTGCGGAAGTAGTCAAATGTAAAGGTCTCTACCAGCATTCTCTTAATCGACAGCCACAAGTGCAACGAGAAAAGAAAATACAGCTCTTGACGTAAAAGCAAGACATACCTGTTCTTCTCTATACACCACATATTCGGCAAACGACAGCCCTTCTGAGCTGGGACGTCCTGTGACTGAATGATGACCGGGAGGTGCGTGCGCCATTTTGATGGCTAAAAACTGGTCAAATGGCTTACCAAGGGCCACACGACATAAAAGAAGTTGCCTGCCAGTTAAAAAATATCGCGTTGATAAGATACAGATTAGAATGAAAACTTTTATTAGATTCAAATTCACATCAGGTGGCATTCATATAAATCTTTATTAAGAGCCAATGTCTGTAATTTTCGAGAATCGGTTGACAGGCGTGAATTTTTGAATTTGTTCATATTTTGCCCACATAATCTCTATAGTACACTTATTTCAAAAATCACATTAAAACTTCTAACGGGTTTTTATTTTTTCCTGAATCGGGCAAAGTTTGAAAAACTCCAAATCGGCGCTCTTTCGAGTATGAAATTAGCGAAAATTAAGCATTTTCTTCGCGCTCGTACATAAAACCGGGATGATATCTCTAAATGAAATCAAGTCACAAGGAAAACACAGACTTGTACTTTATAATTCAGCAATTATCTTTAGATAAGCTGTTTAAATGTGACTGTGTTGGCCGCAAGAAGAAACACGATTTCGGCTCTTTTCAAAACTGGCAAATTTGACCTAACTCCACCATCGAAAAAAACAATTGATACATGGAATTTCAACATGAAACAAAAACTATTTTAAAGCACATCCTTTGCCGTTTCTTGCGTTAAAAAATTTTTGGCGGCATTACAAAAGTGCGTCGCTGAGACACCGAAACGTGCAGGGTAGTTTCGCACGTTGGAACCCTGAAACAAGCTAGCCGCGAGTGTAGGCACACAAAAGTTTTTGCTAACTTAGCTTCTTTTACAAGGGGCACATTACGGGAAGCTCTTAAAATCTTTTGAAAAACGCCTTTCAATTTGGTGGTTATAAAAAAGAGTTAAGTACATTAACACTGCATTTGATTGCACGCAAGTAG